CCTGATGTCTGTTTTCTCAACATTTCTTGCTGTGGTCTTGAAGGTTTCATGTAAGTACTTTTCTTATGGCGTAGTTGAGTCTTTTCCTCAATATGTGTTCTTAACATCACCAGTGCTTCTTCCTGATTTCTTATGTAAGCTTCTAATTCCATGTAAATTGTTTCTTTCATTGTCAATTACCATAAATTCATTGCTCATCAATGTGAGCTTTTGTCAAGTCTCGTCCTAAGATGTGGGCGAATTCATAACTCCTAATTTACATCGGCATCCGTTCAGACTGCAGATGTCTCACTTACAGTACTGAACGAAATGGGCAGCCTGAACCTGCAGTGAACAACTGGAAATCATCGTGGTAATTACTTTCGCATGTTACTAAAATTGCTATGTCAAGTTACGTTCAGAATCTTGACGTTTACTGAATTATGTTATAAAACACTTCGTCTTCAACAATACATATAATAGACAAGTAGACGGAACAGCCAAGGGCTCAGCTCCAGGCCCAGTTCTTCCTATCAAAGCTAGAAAACGGATCACTTAATGAGGTTATTAGGAGCCGTGATCTATATTGCCGCTACAAAGCTGACACATATATTATTGAATGAATATTACAGTAAGAGATGAATTAACGGACGATTTTAGTCAACAAAAATGTCGATGATTGATTGGTCTGGTTGTTTAATCAAACTAACTGACTTCTTTCTGTTACATTCTCTGAACTCAGAGAATGAATCTCCGCAACAATTTAACGAGTTCGTATCATATTTACGTAACCAACACGTAAAAATATAAGAAAGTTATTATGTACTTACATAAAGAGTACAACCATAAAGCATCCAAATAAAATCTTATACATCAGCACCATAACTACACGCAGAAATATTTCAAAACCAATCACATGCACTTCAAATGTTGTTCCCTTGTAGTGAGCGAGTCATGATACCAGAATGACTATGCTCAATAAATGTTCCATAATATTCTGCCAACATTGAAATCAAAATAAATCCATGATCCAAGGTTTTATTGAAGGAGACAACGAGCATTACATCGGGAACAGCAAATAGAGGAAAATGGCAGCAACGCGAACAGAACTTTGTCCGCAGGATGTCATAGAACTGTTTTTCGTACAGTTAAACAAAACGAGTACAGTTACGTTTATTTTTTACAAATCGTATTTTCTTCCACTATCCTTCGTCTCTAAAAATGTTCAAAACAGCGTAAATATTTATTAATATGTGGTTTGAATATAAATATCCCTTATTAAGTAAGACTGACAGCATTAGGTTGTCAAGGATTACTGCGCCCACCTTTTTCGTTAGTATCCAGTGATTTAACTGGTTAGGGTTACGAGACAACTTCGTGCAAGTAAGTAATTGACATTGATTAGAAACTCACCATCCTACATGTAAGATCCAATGCAACTCTATGGATTGATCCGCGAAGTATATATGGTCTGCTCATATTTTAAGTCATGAAAACTGAAAATTTTGATGACATTATTTTGTACATAGTCTTTCTAAGTCATTCATTTGAGTGAAGGATCAATTGTGATAATCGATTCATTACACAATCCTACAACGAACACATAATGAATGTTTCTTAATAGAAAACGTTTGCATTCTATAAGTGACAAATATCCGATCATCATGACAAACATTTACTGAGTATTTTCATTGTCAAATTCTTCCATTTTATTTCCAAAATCTCAATATAAATATGTCGCTCATCTGCAATGGTGATTATTTTTAGCACATATATATTAGAGAGAACTGGTAATTACTCTTAATGTGCTCAATATACACTTCAATTACATTTGTTTTACATTTTATATACACATTACAGAGTTATCGCTCTAATATTAGCACTGATCATAACATTCATCAAAGCATTACACACCGCATCTACAAGGACTAACATCATCATGATTATAACCGTAGGTCGAATATGATTTTGAATGATGATAATGATCTTGTATAAATCACTACAGAGTTTTCATGCGAAATTAATATCAATCTTTTTAATTTTTATTTGCTTTTGTCTGCTTGTTTTATGTTCAAACATATGTTTCTACAATGTGTTAGTCAACACTTGATGTTGCGGAGTAGATTTGTATCCAGCTGACAAGGTTGCATTGTGCACTCGTTTTGCTTAACATTTTCATGTGTCATATTCATCATACGGATTTGGTGATGTTACATTCAGTTGAGCAATAAATATGCAGAAACATCTCTGAATTGCAGTACAGTACGATTGCTTAACAAACATCTAACTTTAATTTCGATGCATAAACAGTTGAGTTACAGGCATTATAATTAAGTACAGTGCATGAGCAGTGATTGTTTAGTGATGTTTCTCGTTGTAAACAGTATTGATAATGTACTTATCATAAACTTACACATATACTTTCTTCTTTTCAGTTGATAATTATGGTCATTGGTGTTGGATTATTGGGTTCGTGTGGCTGGTAGTATGAACACGTCATTGTGGCAATCGTTCCATTCGCACTATCAATCTTGGCTATAGAATTGGGTCTAAAAATGAAATTTTTTCCACGAAAATAGAGGATACTATTATTTTCACTTTGTTGTTTGCTGGTAATGTTTGGAATTGTCTGCAGCATTTTAGCTATAATCTGCAGGAACAAGTGCGTTTACCTGAAGCATTGACTTCAATGTATCGTAAGTGATTTCTGCTTTGTTATTGTATATTCATTATGAATGTCAACTCATAACTAATCATTATAAAATATGCACAACAAATAAATGAATATTTGGTTCGTTTTTATGTTATATATGAATACGCATATCTGTGGATGCAAAATATTCACGAAAATGATTAGAAATGAAGTACGTCCTTCTGTTTTATGGTATATCTAGTTTTGTCGGCCATTTGTTGGTACGAGGCAATGGTTTTGGTAAGTTTCTAATGAACGATTTGATTTTGATATATACATATATATATATATATATATATATATATATGGATACATATAATTACACACATATATGTCAATCTCACTCTGTACATTCTGAATTGTAAAATATCATACCTCATACTGAAAAAATAACTTTGAAACATTTACAAGAATTATTCATGATAGATTTTTGAGTCAAACATCAATAGTTAGAATAGCAATAGATTCTTGTTGGAAAGCGAGATGTTGATAAGTGAAGATATGAGAATTTTTCTGTTCATTTTGTTAAACAACTGACACTCGTTTCAGAATACTTGATTGATCAAACAAATCACTGACTGGTCATTTGCAGGGTTTAAATCATGTCAATGTCTTAGATAATAAACATAGCCCATCAATGAATGTTTATTATTTCATCATAGATTTAACATGACTGATTTTTTAAAATTACAGACGATTGCACTTACGACATATTATTTGGTGAAGAAGATCGAACTTGAAGATTACTCTGAAGTTTACATGACATTCAAAGTTTCGTTTGAATTATTGATACTGGTGATTAATTTAAATGTCAATTATTTCTTTCATTGTTGATCTTGAACTTTGCTTTCTAGGTGGACCTGTTTTAAACACTGGTCACTAATTAATTATCTATCATAAAATACTTCGATAAATGTAAAAGTGTTATTCATTGTTTGCTCAGAATACTTTTCAAGTAATCACAAGCTGTGATGTTATTGATTTGTAAAGTATGTTTTCTCAGAACTCCATTTCAAATATCTGTTTGAATTACAGTATTCATTCCACATATCGTCTATTATAGTGTTGTGTATTTGATGTTTATCGCTGTCAAACAGATATTTTTTGATATGAAGCCTCTAGATAAAACTGTAGGGATGCTAGTAAAGATGTGACTAATCTAGCGCTTCGCATATCTGAATTATTCGAAGACCACACTTCGAGTAGATTGCAAGAAACGGTCATCGTCTATGTATATACATATTCACACAAATGTCGTATATGTAAACGTGACTTGCATGAGTCTCTTTATGTCTAGATGGTATATGCGGGTGTACTTGAACTGTACATATTGGTCACTAAAAAAGAGTAAAGCAACATCGCACTCACATAGCCGAACCTTTGAAAGTAAACCGGTCTGTGCACTAAACTGTTCAAGCAGGTATCAATTATAAGGTGGGCAGTAGCTGCAATATCCATTTATGAAGGTTTAGTTTGTGAAAATCCTTCCTTGTATACATATGTGTTTCTTGTGTTCATTGTTTCCTACAGTCTAATTGTTATCATACTGCTACTAATTTGTTCATGACTCTGGACTGCAGCTTGACTAAAACTCATCTGAAACATACGTCTTCGTAGTTGAAACCCAAAACTTCGACCTTCTCCTTCAATCATATGTGCTGATTTCAATTTTTGTGATTTTGAGGATCTTTTAATCCACACGTTCCGCCGAGCATTAGTGCTCAACTTTAATTACTGATGTAAAATTATATGTAACTCTCAAAATTATCCATTGCCTTGTCGGAATTATGGTGTTGTACATGATCAACTAAAAGTATATGAAAGGTTGCATATAGTACACATAGCAAAATCAAGCAAAAATCTTTCGATCAATTTGCATTAAAAAAATGGTTCTCTTAAGTTAGTCCTAGTGTACCATAAGGATAGAATCCAAGTCAATCCTATTCACATATATGGATGGAAGGTTGTTTAAACTTTGAATGAATTAAGTCATAGGGACTGAGCATCGTCTTTCTAATGTTCAGCTGTCGGAAAACTTTGTGAGCATGAAAAGAACTAAGAGATTCACTAATTCTATGCTTCGCTCTATAATGACATGAAAATAACTTAAGAAACAATTCTCACTGCTATTAGGTGATCTTTAGTAGTGGACCTGTAGTTTGCCTGAACCGCCAACTGCTAAAGAACACTAAAACGATAAGTATTTATGGTGACAGTTCATTATTTAAACAATGCAAAATAAATTGATACGACAAAGTACAAAATTTCAGTAAATGTGATAAAACACTTCTGAGGTTGAAAGCAATGATTGTTTGTTGAACAGTAATAGTAACAATAAAAACTGCCGTAGCAATAATAACAGGAAGTGAGTAAACAAAATTTTGAAATAAGTTTTAGTGCTGCTACCAAACAAATCACAATAAAGCATTGTGTTAGTAACCAAAAACAGCGACAGGCAAACATGTTCAGTTTACATAGAGTTGAATAGATTTTCTCAAACTATTATGCAGATGCTTCAACAGATTTTCAAATCGACAGTGAAAAGAGATTGAAGAGAAATACATAGTTGACATATAAAAAGTAATGCCGTCAGCAGTTATTGGAAGAGATATTCCTTGAAATAGTTCTTATACAAAAGCTTCTGAAGCTACTTCCACTTTACATAGATAAGTACACTGAAAAGAATATAAATGGAAATAACTGTTCATTGTGATAATGTAAACGAAAAAACTCGCTTGAAACATTTCATTAAAAATTTCATTAAAATGCTGACTTACTTGAATTATCAAAATCATTCTACATTAGATGACGTTTAAGAAGAGTGATGCTAGCGTTCAACTCCAATCATAGTCGTGTTCACACTAGTGTTTAGTTGTAATGTAGATTTTTGTAGGTGAAGTAGGTTGCCTTAATATGTCAGCCTATTCACATTAGAATTCAGATGGAATGATTCTGCGTAATTTCATCTGCTGAGTAATGTATATGTAAGTTGATAATTACTACTTACTTCCTTATTTAGTTACGCCTGTTAACCCAAATGCAGCACAGGCCACCGATCAGTATTCTCCAGCTAGCTCAGGCATGATCTTGCCTTGCCATTTCCGTCCATTTTTTTTCATTCTTTTCATGTCTCCAGTTCTTGGGGTTATATGTTTATCGGCCTTCCTCTTTTCCTTGGAGACTGAGGATTTCGAGTGAGAGTTTGTCATGTGAAACAGTTTGGTGCAATCGGCAGTATGTGACCGATCGACTTCCAGCGCATCTTCCTGATTTCTTTCTCCGCTGGAATCCTATTTGTTCTATCCCACACTAGTTTGTTACTGATTGTGTCTGACCAACGAATTCGATGTATTTGCATAGACGAATGTAAATAAACACATTTGTTTTCCGGATGATGGCTTAATTGTTGTTCAAGTTTCCGCCCCAAAAAGTAGGATTGTCTTGACATTTGTTTTGAAAATTCTGATTATTACGTTGGTTGATAGTTGTTTTGAGTTTCAGACATTTTTCGATTGCAGAAATGCAGCGCTTGCCTTGCCGACTCGCGCCCACACATCTGCATCAGATCCACCGTTCTCGTCAATGTTGCTGCCCAGATGTGTATATTGCTAACTTCCCCAAAGACATCTCCATCAAGAATGATTTCGTTGACGCATGTAGTGTTGAAACGCAGAAGCTTCCTTAGCCCGTTATGTATGTTGGTAGTTGCTGCTGTGTAGGCTGATGCTACACTGATCGTCTTCTCTTTCGTTTATTGTTGCGAGTGAGAAAGAAGATCCAAGTTATCAGATTGTCCAGCTGCATCCTTGTTGTGGATTGTATACCGTGCATTCCACCTGATGTTGACGTCTTCAAAATCCAGTCGATCACCAGTAGAAAGAGAAAGGGTGAGAGTAAGCAACCTTGACTGACACCGGTCTCCACCTCAAATGATTCTGTCAGCGGTACTTCGAGCATCATTTTGCAGTTTACTATGAAGTTAACTGTCTTCACATGCACGCCATAATGTCGGAAACGCCTCCATAGTGTTGTCATATCCATGCTATCGAATTAGTTTCTGTTGAAGAAATTGCCTATCATTTAGAGGACAGTAATGCCTCTATTGTACTCACACTCGCTGAGATCTCTTTTCTTCGGTATTTTGATGAAGTATTCTTACTTCAAGTTTGTTGGTAGTTGTTCCTCATCCCAAATATCTTTGAAGAGAAAATGAAAATCTTTTTTCATTTGCTACCACTTATGCCTTGATTGACTCTGCTGGAAAGTTGCCTGGTTCCGCTGATTGTTGCTCTTGATTTATCTGGTAGACAAACCAATCTATTCAATTGCTGGTTGGCCAAAATCAGTTGGGAGGTCTGCCTTGATTCTAGGCGGGTTAAGTTGAGCTGGTCGATTCGACCGTTCAATAAAGCGCTCTACCCATCTGTTTTGCTGTTCTTCAGTGTTGCTGGTTACTATGTCTTCATTGCTCATAACTGGTCGTTCTTGTTCACTATAGTTTTCAGACATCTTCTTTGTTGTATCGACTCATTGTATTGTCTCATTTTTCCTGAGTATCAGTCCCATCTTGACGGCCAGTAGTTGGTTATTTAAGGCTATGTCAGCTCCTCTCTTGGTTCTAACATCCTGCATGGCCCTTCTGAACTTTTTATTGATACAGATATGGTCGATTCGGTTCCCAGTAGTGCGATCCGGTGAAATCCATGTAGCTATTTGTGTGCGCTTGTGTCTGAACATTGTACCGCCGATGACTAGTTTGTTGTAGACTCATAGGTTTGCAAATATCCAACCGTTATCTTTCCTTCCTCCTAGTCCATGTCGTCCCCTGATGTCTTCATATCCAGTGATGTCTATACGAACCCTGGCATTTAGAATCGTCAAATCCTTTGGTGAGCATCTGTCGATGATTGACTGAAGCCTTCCGTAGAATTGATCTTTAACATCGTCAGTGTAGTCGTTGGTAGCAGTTGTTGGGATAGCATCAAGGCGACTAATTGTGGATGTGATGAATTTTGTTCATGGCCGGAAAATAACATGAGCTCTCCTAAAGCAGGTCTATGTTGTCCAATCTGATTCCAAGTACCTTCATGCTGTATCCTTTTTAACTCTGCAGTAACATGGATGGCTCTCCAGCTCTCTCAAAATGTAACAAAATTCTGTGTACATAAAAGGATGTTTGAACTGATTGTCAGAAGGCCAATCGGCCTCTTTACTCCCGGGGTATCTCGGCTTTCATCATGAGAATTAGTGTGACACTGATTATGCTTGGATATTTCTGAATGAAAACTTTGGAGATTACTAATTTTCCGTTTCTTGGAAATTCTCTCTCCTTTCTCTTACGGATCTTTGTTCCATATTAATAATTACTTTTTACCCTGAATTCTCTGAGAGGTAATAGACAAGTTTATAAGGGTGCAGTACGTTTGAAATGTAAATCAGTTTCAGTTTATTTCTATTTCTGTAGCCTATTCATATTACGCACTGTCATAATTAGACTTCATGACCTTAAATTTGATTACCTGGAAAACTTACATGTCACGACTTCTTAAGCAGAAACCGTCTTACAAAATACACAGTGCCAGTACACAGGATTAATACAGCACATGGTACCAGGATAATTAAATATAAATAACTTCGTGGTTTTTGCGGCTGTTGAATAATTGAACTCTCTGTTTGATGTATTAATTCTTCAGAAGTTATTGTTGCAGGATCTTCGCAAAGCGTTTTATTCTGAAATCAACATACATCAACATATATGGTCAACGAATATTTATTTCGATCATGTTGAAAACATTTCTAAGTGACTTCAAAAAAAATTAACATAACATTTTCCTAATTTCACACTCACTCTAACTGCGATGGTTAATGATAAAAGTTTACGAAAAATCACTCAAAATGATTCGGATTTATCTATATTATGACTGCAGTCAATCAGATGCGCATGAAAAGAACTATGTATTGTTTTTATCTGTCCATTTCTTAACAATATTTGAAGATGTTCACTCATTTGTTGTTTAAGCTGCCTGGTAGTAGGCTGGAAATACCTATCTCTATAGGAGCAGCTAAAATGGATAGCCTGTCATGCTCAGTAAGTTTTTGATAAATTCCAGGTCATGACCTGAAGCATTCAGTGAACAGATCATTTTTGCTCTGATAGTGACACTTCGAACCAAATTTCTTTGATAATGCATATGTATAAAACTATAAAAGTGTGCATATTGATAAGCTGAGAGATTATTTCTGTACACACTTCTTAACGAGCCATCACTTCTCCTACTTGCATCGTTTATCAACGTTCTACTAATCGCGACGATTAATTTTGTATGCTAGCAAATATGGGTATAAAAAATCAACATTGACTTCCCTGAGGATATTTGGAAGGAATCGATCTTAAGATGTACGCATACGCCCATTTTGCCTTGAACAATGCTTGTTACACACAAGTAGACAGAATAGCCGATTGCTTACGGTTAGCTTCATTCTAGCTTATCTCTCCATGACAGAGCTCGAAAATAAGTCACTAAATTAGGCTATTAAGAAGCTTCATTTGTATTGCAGCTACGTAAATGAATGAATTAATATTACAATGAGAAATGAACTAACTAATGGTTGTAGTCAGCAAAAATGTCGATGAAATATTGACGTGGTTGCATAGTCGAAGTAACTGACTTCTTTCTATGTCATTGTTTATTGTTAAGAATTGTATATTCACTTTCACTCTCGGTACCCACGTTGCCAAGAATTTCATCACACATATTCTCTTGACCTACAAATTTTCACCACTATTTGAAGCCCGTGAAATATTCATCTCAGTTCAGTAGATCTAGAATCGTTTTCAGTTCTTTCTCAACAGTATATGTCGTCTAAATCAATTCAGATTTGATCGAATGTGAAATAAAGCGTATGTGTGTAGTAATTGTATTTGGTTTATGATGAAAAATGAAAAGAAACTTAACCAAAATTTGACGCAATCATATCATTTGTACGATACGAACAAGTGAAAATATGGGGAATTAATTAAGTACTTACATGAAACGTACAGCCATGTAACATCCAAATAGATACAAATACATCAGCACCATTACTACACGAAGTAGTAGTTGAACACCATTCACATGGTACACAAACAGTCGACGCTTCTGCACATTGTTCATACGAAGTCTGTTTGGCACAAAATGCTGCGAAAACAAAATGAAATCCTTTAATTATTGACATGAAAATGTTACTAGTCGTTTATTGAATTAATACATTTTTTTTCTAGTTCACAGAAGATGATGAATTCTTTTTACAATATAATGTGACTGAAAATCACAAATTAGACTAAGTCGACTGAAATATATGAGATTTTACAAAAAACCACTAAGATAAACACGTTCTATGAAAAAAATAATTCTCAAAACAGTTGAGGTAGTTATATGTAATGATGAAAATTGTTGTGCAGTGGAATATAGGACATGCGTTTCGCTTTATCGAATGTAGGTATTTTACCTGAACTGATATTCACTCCGAGACTCAAACCCGTCGGCTTCAAACGCTATTTCACTGTTAACTTAGCTACTGAGTCTAGGTGAGCAAAAATGAATTGTACAATCGAGTGAAGTTAAAATCGTTTGTAAAAGTAGTTTGAATTTTCCAGTTGACCTATTCAAACTGCTAGCTACTTTCTGCTTATGCATATCATGCTTGTCACATAAAGGTCAAATCCAGGCTATTTGCTCAGTATGCAAATGTTGCAAGGGAATTGACTAATCTTAGATCTAATCATCAATCGGAAACATTCAAAACACCTATACACATATATTAGAAACAGTTTTTTCCATATAAGAACAAATAAATTTTTGGTAAAATCAAGCATCGACGTCAACACGAGCAAGGACTGAAAAAACGCTACTTCAATGAAGTACCAATTATATGTACTACACGTACTTTTGAAAGCGTTGCTAAACTGTAGAAACATCGGTCGTAGATCGGCGTTCTCCAAACTACTATGTTCTCTGCTTTCTTCTCCAATTCTATCTATTTACTGTCCATTCTTTTCATGTATGTCTCCAATTATCGGTGTTATGTGTTTCTCGATATTCCTCCTTTCGTGTAGCCTTGAGGTATCCAAGTAAAAGACTGCCTGGTGATGCGATTAGATTCTTTCCACAATGTGTGTCTCATTCACTTTTAGCGCTTCTTCCTGATTTCTTCCCCCGCTTGAATCTGGTTAGTTCTCCCACAAACTAAGTTGTTGCTGTTAATGTCTGACCAACGGAATCGAAGTATCTTGTTTGGACAACTGTTATTAAACAGGTCTATCATCTGGATGACAACATTCGTTGATCACCAAGTTACTGCGCCATTCAGTAGAATTATCTTGACGTTTGTATTGAAAATTATGACTTTGGTGTTCGGTAATGGTTGTTTTTAGTTTCAGATGTTTTGCAGTTGTAGAAATGTGCTTTGACGATCCGCGGCTTTATATCTTGATTAGATTATTCTTGCTCGTCAATGATACTACGTGAAGGTTTTTCATCCTTCAAAGCTTCTCCGTCACGTGTGATTTCGTTGTTCTATGTTAGATTGTTTCAGTGGACCTACCTAGTATGCATGCACTTAGCAGTTTGTGATTTCAAAGATAAAAGGCGCTACTTCGCAGGGAAATATTCCATAGTAATCTATTTAAGTGTATAATTTTTTAATAATGGAAGTTTTTTTAGAATATTTTATGTATTGAAAAAGCCCAAGGTCGCAGTAATTTGGTGAATGCTGGACATTGGGTCATACTTCATTGGGAGTAACAGGCGTAAGTAAGCAAGTATATACTAGTTGAATAAAGTACCGAGAAAAACATATTACATGCATTACTAACTTGATGTTGGTTCAAAAGATACTGCCGTGCCAGATTTTATCATGTGTTTTGGAACATGTATACCACTGGACTGTATTATTTTCTGTTCATTGGAAACTAAGAAATGAACAAAAAAATGAAGTTATTGTTTTATTTAAGTAGTGTGCTTAATTACAAAACTATGAAATAAGACGGATTACAGTTGTCGATGAAATATATAATCCTTACATCATTCAATTCCAAACCCGCCACTCAATTATTACTTCATTTTAAATTTTAATGTCTATTTCGTGACTCGTAATCAGTGAACGCAGCTAAGCTTTAGAGTTCAGGTAGTAACTGACTAGTTCAAAGGGAATGCAAATATATATCAGCCTGACGAAACACAACACACATGCTATCTATCTTTGCTCAGACAGTTTCATTGCTGTATGCATTTTTAAGGTTTTTTTTCCAAATAGTTATGTACTATATGAGAATGATTGATTTCATCATCGACGGAAATATTTAACTCGTTACAAATGAATTGAAATGAAAACTGGTTTCACATTTAAACGCCTTTCCCTGTTGCTCACATCAACTGTTTTTTACTTCATTACTGGCTTCATAATTAATTAAGCCGACAGACATGAAAATAAAAAGCGTGCACACAAGCAAAGCGATGTGGTGAAAATGAGCCAGCCGATTCAATGTAATGAGGTATCACCAGTTATTTATACTCCGACAAAAATTAACCTGATACGTAATAAGGGAATCAAGCAGTGCACGCACATGTTGTAATCAAGACAACCAAGATTAAAGCGAATAGATGACAAGGTCAAAAGACGAGCGATTAGTAACTTCGGAAGAGGTGAAAAGTTGGTTAAACCGAAGGTTTATGACAACTTCTTTGGGCTGGACATAAAGTTACGCTCATTACAAAGTTTAGTTGGTGTAAGAATTGATTTGTACACAGTCAACTCCCCTACGTTTGCAATTGTTACAACATAACAGTTAAAACATGGAAACTGAACATCGAGATGATAGCGAAAATTTGCAGCCTAGGTGGATGATTGTTGTGAAGATTCGTTCTTTAGTCAGAAGAACAATTAAATCTACTCAACTAAAAAAAATTAAGCTTAGACAACGAAACTCCATTACAGTAAACATTATCAGAGTGTTATAGCTGATTAAGGTAAGATAAATCAATATTGTATATACATGTCGTTTCAAATATTTTAAATATTTCTTTCAAAGCAAATTACATTCACGGAAATTGTAGTGGTGTTTGGTTCTCTTAGCTGGATGTATTGGTTGTGAAGCTTTCATTGTTCTTCTTAACAACGTCGTCAGTTCAAAATTCAGCACTTCCATCTGAAGAACCAAACACTACCACAATCATCCACCTGAGAGACAAATCTTCTCCACCACCTCCAAATTCACGGAAATAAGGCAGAAATATATATGCAAATATACGACTTTACCGTCTTGTACAAACAGAGCATCCATAATTTGCGATTGTAAATCGGACTTCAATACTTTAATCGGCACCTTAAAATTAAATAACAGAAAATATAAACAGGGTTTTAGTTCGTAAATTTAAACAAACTTTCATTGAAATTTCAATGATCATTGTTGAAAAAGATACATTTCAATGTAAATTCCTTTCGAAATTCATAAAATATGTTTGAATGATATTCAGTGTGTAAATAATGCATTCATCATAATTACTAAAACATATTGTTTCTGTTTAATTGCTAAATACTGTTTTAAAATGTCATCAGTCAATTTATAATAAAGTTTAATGCTAAATCACAGACACTTAACTGAACAGTTTGAATTTTCGACTAATCTTTGCTACAGTTACAAATATTACAATGTCACTGATAGAAATCGAAAATTTATCTTTAAACCTAAGGATATCAACCAGTCATTAAACAATGAATAACTTACTTTCTCGTAATAAATAACTATCTTTCCATTTGGGTGTATTTCACAAAGTACTCGAGCTAAAACAAAAAAGTGAGGAAAATACTAAATACACTTTGGTAGTGTATCCGATCATTGAAGCGTAAATTTGATTTTACTGGGTTTATAAATGCAAAAGTCTGATTGATTCACTACTATACATTAGATGAAATAATGCGTTCGTAAAATATTTTGGCGTCTTCGTGCAATGTCTTATTTTACATGAATAGGGAAGGTTAATTATTACAGGACATGAATATTTCATTAGGTTTTTCTCCTAAAAATTCCATAGAAATAGAGAACATGCGAACCAGATGGGAAACAGCAGTTCAGGCTCATGACAAAAACCACTAAATCGATGTCAAACATATCAAAATCATTCAGAAAGGTTCTTCTAACTATGGTGATAGGTGACTAGCCGAAAGAGTATACAAGAAATGCGAAATCTCTCTGTCATCATCATGGAATCGAGTCATTCAAGCAACCATACTTGCCTCACTATCTACTCAACTCTACGCACTTACACTAATGATCACCATTTTGATCTTTAAACGTCACAAGTGTCGAAATTATATATTCTTTCTTACCCAACTTTATGCACAAAACGATTGTAGTGTTCCATTGAAATTATGAATGAATCATTGTTAGACAGCAGGATTCCCGCCCAGTTCTCGAGAGGTTAGGCGTTCGCGAGCAAGATCGGTTTTCCTGTTTTCGAATCCTGCAAGTTGCAGGAGTTGCGACTGAACACTGCTGTGTCCTACGTTAGGACCAAACGGCGAAACAGTGCTATGAGGTTTCCAATGGTGTTTTAACACTGATTCCTTCATGACTTCAGCGTAAAACTTCCATCTCTATAACACTCTAAATGAAGATCTGCATGGGATACATGCACTGAGAAAGACTCCTTTGTTAGTCTTAGTTGTTCCTGGTCATTCAATCGAAGTTAAATATTGATGCTCATTTCTTATCCTATCCGTACTCATTTGGTAAATTTGGTCTGTTAGTTAGGTCACATAAAGACGAAATAAAGTGAAATTTATGTTATTTTCTATACTACGTTCATTGTTTGTACATCAAAAGCCTAACTAGGGTAACAGTATATTCCATCTCAATCAACATAGTATGTTATTCAACTTCTTCAATCAAGCATCAGTAATAATTAAGTAGTATTGTTTGGTAAAACTTACAATTATTTTGTTTGTAGTTAAAAAAAACTCATGTTTTATAAAAATATTTTGAAAATTGTGTATATAAAAATCCTCACCACATTTCAATGCATACCTCGATATGTATTATTTTTGAAAATAATTTTCATTTGAGGCCATCTCACAGCAAATATTCTTTCTAAAAAATTAAAATAC